GTGCACTTAGAGCCGATCGATTACGGAAAGCACTACCATTTCGACATGCCTCCTTCCTCGGCCAAAATACGACAGCATTCTAAAACTCATCATTTCGTTATTTACATTATGCGCCGCCTTTATGTCGGTGAAGTACGCTGGGATATTTCGTATTGTAAAACGTTTGTACTAAATGGAAAAATGTTTATACTCATGATTTCAGTATAAACTTGAATGCCACGTTCACACTCACTCGTTTTTCAAAGGCCTAAACAGTCCGTAAGTAGCCAGGATTCTCCGCCTTATATCCCTCCCTCCAAACACCATGATAAAGTCACCACATCGCGCAGCGGAACACTCACACCGGGCAACAGTCATTGGAGCAGCCGGTTTCATCCTTTGGGTTGGCGCATCGAAAATCGTTACCGCATTGGACGCACGTTCTTTGTAACCACCAATAATCACTACCTTGTCTAGCGAATCAAAAAATGAATGCAGTTGGCGATTACTTATCCCGAAAAGCAACGGCCGAAGAGGACCAACGAACCTTTATTTGACAAATAATCTTGTTCTCTCTCGGTTTACTAACATCATGGACGGCGAGTGTGTATTTTGGTGAACGGGCAAGGTTTTTAGTTCCCATCAAATGCGTGATTTTCTTATTGTAGAATCTGGCTTTTTGATTAAACGGCGAAGGAGTAAGACGATGGTTAGCGTTCCCGCACCAGGGCTCACATTCCTTCATATAGTCGCTGAAGTAGTAAATGCATAATTTGAATCGAAGCATACCCGAAATATGGGAAAACTCTTAGCCAACTTTCGTCCGATGCAAAACGCCTCCAGATTTCATTGGATACAGCATTCCAGCGAATTTCGCGAAGCAGTTCTGGAAGCCGTTCCGTTCCATCAGCCTGTTTTTTGGCACCTATCCACTGCGAAATCGCCAAGACTACCTGACCCTCCGTTTCAAGCTTCAGGTCTTCATCTCGAATGACACGGATCAAAGCATCGATGGGGAGTTTTGTATAGAAGTCGCGGTATTTTAAATGTGGGAACATTTCTTGCATCGTTCGAATGCAACTTCTTGCAAGTGAGTTTAACTTGTGCGTTCCTGCTACATGCTATACAAAGGGGAGAGTGTCGAGATTTAACCTAGGAAATTTGAGTCAGAACACATAAGAAACATACAGAGAATAGAGGAAGTCTTCGCACCACTTTGAAACTGTACCGAGCTCCAGATCATTTGCCAATTCCAGAATTCCCTTCACCGAATCTGCTGTTATTTCAATTTTTCCTGTATATGCATAATCGATTATTGCTGTGGCAGCCCTTCAAA